ATTAAAAATGTTCATTATCAGCTGAGTTACGACCCTTCAAAGTTTGCGATCGAATTCGGACATTTATTTTGGAACAGCCTAATAATAAGATTTATTTGAAAGCTTTACTCCTTTCGCTGTTAGTTCGAGTACATACTCGGGTTGCACACGCTGTTTGTGTAGTGGTAGCCTGCGTGGAGGGCATTTTCTTGCAGAACAGTGAAAGCTTTAAGAATTTTTATTTTGGAATGTTCTGCAATGTTCTTTTCATCGTCTTTGCAACGAAGCATTTTTTTTTAGTGTGGACGCATCTTTAGATATGTCAAACCTGAGACTCAATATTTCTCCATTTTCACCGACACATTAACACAAGACCGAATAAAGGGGGCTGCTGCCCCGGCCCCACTTTTCCAAGGGGACCTTAAAGGAAATTAAAAACGTCAAGTATTTGCGTAAATTAGCAGATGCTACAAATGAAAATTTACGCCACCCGCGCTCGACTGTGTGGTTCCACTAGGCTACTCGCCCCGCCAGGTAAATTGTTTTGGGTGAGTTGGAAGGGGGGTGGGGGGCCATGAATCCACTTGCTCCGGGCCTCGCAACTTCTTAATCCAGCCCTGCATTGACATATTTACTGAGGAGCTTCAGCACTCGTCTTCCAATTTGAAGGAACACAATTCCATTTCTGAATTTATTTCATCTGATAAACGCTTACACAAGTAGCAGAAGGTCTGTTAAATTTCTATGGATCATAGCTGTATGCCCATGCAAGCCATTTTTCAAGCAAATCGCTGCCAGCGGTGCGACCAAGGTCGCGAAAATGCTATCACTCGGGCTGGAATGCATGAGAAAGAAATGCATGAGAAATGCACTCGGAAAAATGACGAAAGCCCGGCGAATGGACCACGTGCCACGTCACACGCGTGGGGGGTCAGTCAATGATGTCGGACGGAATCCCGCCGGCCTCTACGGTGGGGGAATGAAATCACGATCGTCATCGATGGGCGGGATGGAGAACGAGGGACGAAGGAGTGCATGGTATAGAACAGAGGTTTTACCGTGTAACACATGGGAGAGGTAGTGGACGGAAATAAAACTTGGCAAGCGGGAGAAAGAGAATGAGGGATCTGACGTCAGTGTTTCCCACTCTCCCAATCCCAGTCCTCCACATGACATCATGGTGAGCTCCAGTCTCTCCGCTTCTGTGTCACCTCTGCCCGTTCCACACTTCTCGTGTCCATAGGCCTGTATTTTGCAGTATGTTAGGCCTACCGTGATCGATGCTAGCATCGGTCAGTGACTAGGGTTAGGCTCTATACATTAGTCTTGGGAGATATTTAAACCAAGTGTCAGGTAATTACTATTTTAATGCTCGTGCGCGTTATGTAACCGTAGCAACTGACTTGCCTGGCCAGCCAATGTCCTTCCTATGTATAGTGCACCCCCCCTACCCCCCGCATGCCTCGGTTTTTTAAAGCCCTTCTACCGCAGTGCCCGCTAAACCTGTAGGCTTTCTAAATATTCGTAAGTCTGTTGAGTGTAGAGAGTGAGGGCAGGACTCGAACCCGCATGTTTTTTATAATTTTTATTATCGTCTGAATCCGAGGCGTACCCCGAGGCGGGTCACGGTTAAGTGCGTACCCCCTAGGGATATTGTGTTGCTCCTTAAGTTAGACCAGGTTAGGTTAGGGTTAGGGATTGTGTGTATAAAAGATACAAAAGATATCCCAATCGATGTACCATGTTGCCTGTTGAATTCAACTGGGAACATTTTAGACCGAGGTAGTGCAATTTTGTTAGGGGGTATGTGCTTAACCGTTACCTCTGAGGCAATTGGGCTTTCAGCTAACATTCGCAAAAGAGGTGCACGTATTAGAGATAGAAGTAGCTATGCTGTCCTTGATATAACAATCCAAAGTATTGATAGATATACCTACTGCCTAGAAAAAAAAGGGAGGTTGAGTTCTGAGAGGTGTTGCTTGCTTGCATGGGCCTGTTTGCACCATTGGGATATAGAAGGTGGCTTATGTCCTGTACACGTAATGGGCAAGTTGAAACATGTGCCTTGTAGCCATGTTCTCATGTATACTTGCATTCATTCATTGTTTGAACCCAAAGTTGAGGTCACGTGTTTTTCACTGTGGAAGTGGGATAGCATCATAGTGGGGCTAGGCCCATGGTCATGCTTCAAAACAATTCATTTGGCTCTTGCCTAGCACATTTGGTGTGGGCTGACATTTGAAGTGGGGCTCTGTTTATAGTTTAATAGCCTCTGTGGGGTTAGCTGTTGCTATTTGACCTAGGCCAGACCAGGGAATTTTGTAGGGATCATCTAGTTGGGCACAGTTAACAATGGGTCCCATCCATTACACCTCATTTCATGGGAAGCCCAATTATAGCATCTCTGGTGAAAGTTGCCATAGACTCGCATAACATCAGGGATTAATTTTAAGCAAATATCAGACAGAGGGTAAGATCCTTTTGCATTGAAGTGTGACAGCAATATGATTACCTTTTTAAAGGGTTCTTTTTTAATGTCATGTCCTTAGGGCAAAAATCATGTGATATCCACTCTTAAATGTATACAAGTGTATATTTTTTTCATGTTCCTTTGTTACTCTTATTTGTATCTTTGTGAAAAATGTCATGCCTGATTTTTGTTTACTGAATAAACAACTAATTAACTTCTAAGTCTTGAGTTGGAATTGCTTCTCTCAGATGGTACATCCTGCTTTTAAATGTCTAATGCAGGAGTGGGCAAACTTGTGAGGCCTATGGGCCTCACAAGGAAACAAGCCTTCATGGGCCACATAAGCCAGAAATAGGTGTAAGAATAAAGAGTTACCAATATCTCACTGGTATGTGCAGCTGCCTGCAGTTAAAAAAAACAGTTTTCTTGCAGCAGCTGGTAGGATGTTTGAAATTCTTTCACAGGCTGAGGGCTGTAGTTTGCCCACTCCTGGTCCAATGCATTGATGCTTCAGCCTCAGCACTAAAATATTGGGAATTCCAAACTACAAATGATTTAGACCTATTCCCTCTGTGATTTCTACCCCCTTGAATGTGTTGTTTCCTTCTTCTGGAGTTGTGATTCCACTGTTTTTAAGCATGTACTAAGCCTAGTACGAGTGGGGGGTACATAAATAAGTGTTTTTGCTTCACGATAAAGGAAGGACTAACTTCTATCTTTCCTCTCGTGTTTCTTCTGTGCATAAGAGTGGGGGAAAAGAAGAAGCAGGAAGGGGAAAGAGAGCCTGAATGGAGAAATGACAGAGGTGTGACAACGGTGGTGAGAGACTTGGGGACGCTGACACGTGCAGTGCAGTGCGTGTGGGTGTGTTACACTTTGGGAGCCAAAGGAAGAAGACTGAGAAGGAGGCCAGCAAGGAGGCCTGCACCTCGTTTAAACCCAAAGAGTATCCTTGGTAGACTGTGATCTCAAAACATGGATGACGCACATAGCAAGACTGTTGAGGAAGTGCTGGCCCACTTCCGGGTAGATCCCGAAAGAGGCCTCTCAGAAAACCAATTCCTGCAAAACCTTGAAAAATATGGCCATAATGGTAAGATCTTTTTTCACTTGTCCTTGTCTAAGTGGAAGTGCCTTGCTTTGCCAACATTCTTCAATCTCTTTGCAACTTGATTTTAGAAGACTTTAATTTTTAAAAAAAGAGAAAGCTTCTCTATTCTCAAAGTTCCAGCTTGTAGATTTATTGTTAAAGAGGAACTACTATGTTTTACGTACAGTATGTGGTATCAACTGTGCTAGGCTGGATGATCCATTTTCAGCTGGGAATGAACCATGAACAGGTAGTGTCTTTCCTTGCTGTTGCAATGTGAGGGTAGCATTGTCTCACTGCTATTCAGTTCCCCATGTATTGAAAATGGCTTCACCAGTGTCACACATTAATCACATTCAAACCAAGGATAATGTCTGCTTGACTCAAGGAGTTGTATGATATGAAGTGTACTCAAATTTATTGCAGTGCCTCATGATATTGATCATAATTCTAAAGTATAGGATGCTTTTTTCACCCTGAAAACTTGCTAAATCTGATATTTATGTGGGGTGAGGTCCTAATAATCACTCAAAAGAAACATTCATGTTTATAATGAAATTTGAGCCAAGCATCATGTAGATGACTTCAATAAAGTTTCAAGATCAATAATCCAGAGAAAACTTAATGCTTGAGGGATGAGGGAAAAGTGTGGCTTCACTGGTGACACCGGTTTTCTTTCTCACTCAAACCACCTTACCTTGTGCCATTGTTGGGTATGAAGGGTGGTTAAGAGACACTGTCTAGACATAGCTTCACAGGTGTGAAGCTATGTCTAGACAGTGTCTCTTAACCCTTTCCACTCCTTTGTCAAACTGGGTTCACCATCGGTTGTAGAATTGCAGAAAAACGTAGCCAAAAGGGTTAAGGTGATGTGGTCAAGTCTTAACATGTATCAGCTCACACATCTCTTTCTTGGATGTGACCACTGCAACACATGCTAAGACATGTCTCCATCTTCCTAATTAACCAATCTGGATAAGACTAGTAAATTTGATGTAGTATGTTCAGCAAAGGCTCAATACTAAGTTGGTTTACGGGATGAAGAAGAGGAACTGGTATTATAAGCAGTGCAACCCTCCTTAGATGATATGCTTTTTGTGTAAACCTGATGCATGTATCAGACTTGTTCGCTAGGCTGATGAATGTATCCCAGTTAACCTATATCGATGAAGTGCTCAAGCAAGTTGGCAAAATTAAGTTTAAAGATATATTCTCAATATTGTTTCTCAGTCAAATTTTCTTGAGAATGAAAAAGTGGCATCATATTGCATTTTCACTTAAGCCATCTTGTTCCTTCACTTCCAGTGCTTGAGAAGTTTCCTCTAATGCCACATCATGCTAACTCAAGACTTTCCTTAATATTCTTAGACATCTTTTACAATTTCTATTCCTTGTTTAAGTTAACTCTTGTATGCTTCTTGAGGGCAATTAGTAGGACCTCACTACCTGCTTTTCACAAGAGGGCATTTGGCAAGTTTTCTCCATGAATCATTCTGCACCCTTGAAATGCTAATTGATTTCATGACACTGTTAGGAATTTGTATACCTAATATCACCAATATTGATAGATTCCTTGATTTTCAAATTTAGTTGCAGTGAATGTATGAATCCTAATTCCTTTGACATGAGATGGAGTAGGAATCTTTTGAGGTCATGCGCTCAAAAACAAGGAAACAAAGCTTTGACCTTATGAATTGTCTATCTAGCCATGAGGCATTCATAAGCAAACTACCGTGCATTCCCTATGGTCCCACCTTTCCCCTTTCTAACTGGATGTTTGACCCAATTTTTTTGCATTTGATTGAGAAGGGGTGTTTCCAGTTTGTTCAGGTCATGAGTTATCATTGATAGACATGATAATTGAGATATCTAGCTCTCCTCCTTTGTCACTATTGTTTTTCTGCCCACAAGAAATAAAAGAACAAGTGCTGGTGCTCTTGGTGGTCTTGTCCATTCTTGTGAATAGTCCAAAATAATCCATACCCTGCATTCCTGAGATTCTTCACCCTTTAGAGTATATCATACATATGTGGATTGTTATACTTGAAAAATACACATGTAAATGTATTACCATCTCATTTAATTGGACAGATATGGTTACTTATGAATTGGTACATGGGATAACCAGTTGGATTGCATGGTGTGTATGTATTCATATATGATCATGTAGTGCCATACTACCACATGTGACATTGATTCTTCCATTGGTAGTAGTTTTGTTGTTGCCTTTTTATGCTTTCATTCTCCCAAAGTTGCATACTCTGTTTGAACATTGATGTGGAAGCTTGAAACTCTTGGAGAAGTTTCTTCATTTTTTTAGGTTAAAAAAAAAATGCTTGTGTATGTAATGCACAAAATCTAAGGAAATTTGGTGGGCATGCCTTGAGCCATTCTTGAAATATGCTTCATTGAAGTATTCAAAAGTAGACAGTGGAATTCCTGAGAAGCATTTCTTCCTCAGACCTCACTCCTTGAATAATGATCATGATTAGAATGTGGAATAAGTTAGACGCTCTTAAATGCAGGCAAAGATTGCCATCATATCAATGTGGTATGTTGCTCTTTTCGTAAGTCAGATTCCACATATTTGCTATGAAGCTACATGTCAAGTGTACTTGCATAGTAGCAAATGTATTGATTATTGGTGCCATGTAGACAATTTCCACTTTTTCCTGTTGCATATAGTGCCAGCTAAGAAAACCAAAGGGAGGTCTGAGGAAGAATTTCTTCAGTAATAATGGAATGCAGAAGAAACTGATTTATAAGTTTAAAATATAGTGCCTATTTGCAAATTAATTGTGCCTCACTAGTGATTATATATTCAAAGCCTTGTTTACTTCACATTATGGTGTGATTTCATGCAATTTTTGCTCTGTTGCACCAACATATTTAGTATTCTTAGTGTTTTTTTTATGGTGACCATGACAATATGAATGCCTATTGCTTCAATGATGGTATCAAATCTACCCAACTTGTTTAGACTGCTCCAGTACTTTCTAGTAGTCTCAGCAATAGGAGCTCAGAACAGAGATACACCCTGCTCAGACAATACTTTTCCTTTGGTGTCTTGTTTGTTGAAATTTCTTCAGTAATCATTACTTCATTTCTTTTGGACTTCCAGTGCTCTTTATTCCTTCCCATTCAAGGTCAGTGCTTAGAGAAATGCATTGGCATTATATTTAACAAGTTGATCATCTGACAGATGATGCTGCTGCTGCATATATGTTGTAGCCTTCTGTGTTTCATTGTTGTTAATAAATGAGAGATGCCCATCATGGTTGTCTTCCACCAAGTTTCCTGAATTTTCTATTTTGTGATGTAGAATTGCTCCCTTGCTATATGCCAGAAAAGAGGGCTGCTGAGGTCAGTTATGTAAAGAATGTAGCCTGGAGGGTGGTGCAAAAGTAAGATACTACCAAAGGGGCAACATTTTGTTTTTCCCAATTTTCAAAACTCTTCTTCACTAACCTTGATACTAATAATGATGGGATCCATTGCCCACAGTAACCATGGATTCAAACATGTGATATTTATATTCTCATTCCATACCTAATTAACTTGTAGTACTAGTCATATGAGTACTCATTTTTGCAAAGAAAGAAATACCAACACTATTTGCTGAAAGCAGAATGATTTCTGGAGACCTATAGTATTTACCATACCAAAATTCCCTCCTATTGGGCATCCATCCTTTGCTATAACTAATTTTTTGGTTGATTGTGTTTTTTGACACTGTTGAGTCTTGTATGTTCAAGATGTTAATTCAGTATTTTCCTTTCTTGTGTTTCAGAGCTTCCTGCTGAAGAAGGTGAGTGTTCCATGTTTTTAGCATGGGGGAAAAAGGGAGCCATTTTGTTTAGCATTGCCTTTTCTCCATGTCACAAATGTAGCTTTTTTATTTTTAATCATAGCAATTGGGTAAGAGTAGATCATGCATCAAGAGGATATTGTCATTAATTAGCCTTGTACATGATAGCTTATGATATGATACTGCTTGTGATTTTGTAATGCACACAGTGAAGGCCCATGGCAGTAACCTGAAAATAAAAGAAGAACCAGTTTATACCAATTCATAATTCAATGCAGGATGTCACAAAAGTGAGAGATTTTTTTTTTAAAGATAATTTTTCAAAGCAAAAAAAAATAGTCAAAATTTTGCAAACATACCATTCTATAGTATTTTTTATTGCTCTTTCCACTGAGTACAAAATCTTTTAAGTAATAGCTGCATTTTGGGTTTTGTAAGACTGAAATGGAAAGGGAAGCCAATGTGTTTGCATGACTTGACGACTGAGTGCTCCAGATTCAACCGTCAGGAAAGCGATAAAGTGCTACGAGGAGCTCAGTACATCGTCTAATTGCCCTCGCTCCAAAACAACCACTTGCACCATTCGAGTCTTGTGGCCTTCTTCGCCTTTTGTTGCCTGTAAGCCTTGAGTCCAAGGCTGTTCTGGGCGATCCTCCGCAACGACTCATGCAAAATTCCCACCTCTTGGCCGACCTTCCTCAGCAAACAGCATGGATTCCTCTCAGACCGTTGATGGACATTTTTTTCGATGAGCAGCATTAGTCGCAGAGTGAGGGCAATCAGCTGATGTACTGAGCTCCTTGTAGTGCTTTATCGCTTTCCTGTTGGTCGAATCCGGCACATTCAGTTGTCAAGAAATCTCGGCAGTTCACGTTCTCAAGTCACACTTGATGGCTTCTCTTTTCAATTTCATTCTTAAAAATCCCAAAAGGCAGCTATTACTTAAAAGATTTTGTTCTCAGTGGAAAGAGCAATAAAAAATACTATAGAATGGTACTTTGCAAAATTTTGACTTTTTTTTTGCTTTGAAAAATTAACTTTAAAAAGGTGCATGAACTTTTGTGACACCCTGTACCAATGAGTCATTTCCTCTTGGGTGCCTCTTGATAGCTGTTGCATAAAAGTATCATAATGGGGTATTTGTTGACTTGCTCATATTTTATTTTATCACATTCACTGCCAAACTCTAAGTGGTCAGTCAACTGCCCCTTGCCAAGAATTTTAGAAATATTCAGAAAATGTCAAAAGTTATTTTTTTTTTTTATCCAGGGGCCCATTCCCCACCTCTGCCAAACTTAAATCTAAATCTAAATCTTAGTCTAAAGGGTCAGGGCAAAGAATAGAAGCTTATAGACTGCATTTAGATTTAGATTTAAGTTTAGCAGAGGCAAGGAACAGGCCCCAGATCTCAAACCATTTACCCCTTTTGGTGGAGTCCCAAGTATGTACCCTTAATGCAGCTACCCACTTGCCTATATTATCCTGATGGACAACCATATGAAAGCACATACTCACAGTGATGCTGAATGGGTTAAGCAAAGTACATGAAATTTTCAATGTACCTTTGCCTATGCAATACAACTTAAATGGAGTTTTCTGCATGTGAGTGCTTGTGCATTAAATAGCATGAATAGCAGTCAGTATGTTAATCTTAATATAGGTGTTTGTCTCAATGCAGGATTCTGCTTCAGGCATCTACAGGGTGCCCAGAACAAAAGTACACCCTTATATATTTGACTTTCTCAGCAAACAGGAGACTAAACTGCCTAAAAATTTGAATAAATAGAGTTCAAATAGTCAGGAAACAGTTATTAAAATATTATGCGGATCAATTTGACCTGAACCCTGATTCATACCATTTAATGAAATGATCTCAAAATTAGAACAGTTTATTTTATCACCTCAGTTCAGACAAAAAACAACAATCATTGCAAATGAGGAACAATCAGCACATTTGTTTATCTTTGGAGACAGTGAGCAAAGTCGTTGACAACTTTCTGAAGAGATTCAAGTAGCACATCGAAGCAGGAGGTGGCCATTTTGAAAACGAGTGATTCTATTGTGATCCTGAGAGTGTAAACTGTTTTTGTTCTCACTGGCTGTAAAAATTTGGTCAATTCAATAAATTATTTTTTGATTTTGTCCAGGTATTTTTGCTGCACCCTGTATATTCCGATACTTTTGATTGAATAAGGGGTTTTTTTTTGGATTTAGTGAAAAATACATGGCAGTGTATTAAACTAAGATGCTGAGTACTGTAAATTTACAGGGTAAAAGTTTTTGCAAAAGTTGACCAAATTCATCTTGACTTCAAAATTGTGTGTAAGTACAACTTTTGCCCTGTAAATTTACAGTACTCAGCATCCCACTTTAATACACTGCTGTGTATTTTTCACTTGAGCCTCTTCAGAAAGTTGTCAGTAACTTTGCTCATCGTCTCCAAAGATTAACTAATGCATGGATTGTTCCTTATTTTTTAATAATTGTTGTCATTTTTAGGGATGTAACGATATTATATCGGTATCAGTTATCGGACCGATATTTTGCTTCGTCAATATTCGATATCCAAGTGCATGATGAACATCTGCTTCACTCAATATAAATGCAACGTAACTGCTGACACCATCATCCAGTGATGTTTCTGTCAGTATTTTTGCTTATGTAGTCACAGGCCTACCTCATTAACATTAGGTGCCATGAATGCTTCCCTGAATCCAGTTTTCATATATCAATACTCTACACCATTCTCGCTGAAGGGTGTCTAATGATATTTGACACCTCTTTGGAGGGAGAGAGGCTGTAAATTTAAACGGAATTGGGAGTCAGTACTACAGAAGCAGGCACCATGACAGCCATAATAGCAATGGGATTCTGCTCCACTTAAATGATCGGCATGTAACCCTCTGAAGTAAGATGCCTAGGTATTTGTTCGTCTTGTGAACATCACGAACATCCCTTCTACACACGGCCTTCGCTTTTCCAGCATCAGGGTTCTGAGATTGCCAGGATAAATGTGGTGCATCTATTACTCTCTTCCCTTAATCCTGTGATTCTTCCGATCGTGACTGACTAGAAGAATGAAAGTGTGGCATCCTGAGCAATTGACATGGTGCTCGCATGTATATACCAAAAGTGACTAGGAAAGGCCAGCATAATCTTCGCTCCTGGGAAAACCTTGAACCTTGAAGCTTTCGGGATCAGAATTTTTTTTTCTTTCTTTAAGCCTGCATGATGATCTAAGCATATATAGAAATAGGAAGAAATATGCTTTCCGCAAGTTGTGCACTTGAGATGGAGCCAGTAACAATGAAAGAAGAAGCAAAAGTTCGGTCAAGGTTTGACTTGGCAGGGAAAAAAAACCTTGATGAAAATGCTGCCAAACTGCTGATTCGCGCACAAATCGTTCATAAATGCAAACATTGGGGGCTTCAGGACCATGTTCCATCTCTCCCTTTTCTCGCCCTTGTACGTCATGACCGGCTGGATATGATCTTACAGGTATGACCAGATGCCGAACACGTCTCCTCCAAGGGTTGGGGGATGAAGCAGAAACTGTTGATCATTAAAAGCAGAATGGCATTTCGAAACGTTGGTTCTCGCCCAATTGGACAAGCATGCACAATTGCAGAATGAGAAGAAAGGGATTTGACAGAAATGGACGAGGGGAGGGTAGCGAGTATGAGGTTGAGGGGGAAAGCAACGATGGTGGGCATCTTCCGGTTCTGTTTGCAGGCTGAACAAGAACCAATGCACTCCATTTTGTTGTTGGACTAACGTTAGACCTATGTCTAGGCCTACATTACTTCTCATGAAAAAAGTATTAGAAAAGCACGCCAAGATGATGTACGGTGCCAAAGAATGAACCTCAGTCATAGTCATAGAAAGATTGAGCTTGGGTAAGGTACTCGCAAACGGAACGGTGAGCAGAAGTCGTGGTATGCCATCCAGATTGGTCCAGATACTAACCTAATTTGCTTACAAAGACCTAAGAAAGAGGAATGAATAAGTTTTTATTAGTATGCCTAGGCCTACATTTCTAAATCTGTCCACAATGGGGAAAAATTCAACTGCCTAAGATTGCTTAGACCTTTGCCATGACCTGACTGAGGACATGCCTTTGTCCAATCTTTCACAAGATGGTGTGAGGAAGGAACCATTCGAAGTTCTTTCTATTGAGAGATTAATGTTCCAATATCTATTATTGTTTATTTACCTTGATTATTTGCAATTTTTAATTGTTGAACTACTGGATTTCAGAAAAATTCCTAATGAGTGTTGACTGGAATTCTCAAAAAGCCCAGTAAATGAACTCTTCTTCAAAATTCTTCAACTTTGAGTACTAAGTGAAACTACACCCTCCAGTGTTGTGGAATTGTTTGTAGGAAGCAATAAACCAGAAGGGAAAAAAACTTGTTTCCTTGACCTCTTTTTCTTTTCTTGAATTCTTGTTTGAAAGCTTAATTCAATATTTTTTCCAATAATATCGGTTATCGAATATAGGAAAATTCTAGTATCGTTACATCCCTGGTTATAGCATTTTGTAAGGTGTTGACAATTTTGGAGCTGTGATGAGCTTTGTAGACAGACAAGCATGTAAACTGTATCATATTCAATGACAGTATATCAATTTTTAAGTTGAGATATTGAATCACTCCCTGGAGCCATATTACTTTAAATGTGTGAGCTATTTAAGTAGACTGTCTGTTCCCTTTGCATTCTGTACTAAATTCTCTGTAGCTATCACAAATTGGTTATGTGAACTGCTATGCTTCATCCTAGGGCTAGTCTGATTCATTAACCCTTTCCACTTCACTGTTAAACCTGGTTTGACATTTGGGATGCCTTGTTTTCACTTCATCGTTGAACCTGATTTCGTATTGAATTTCTCACCTGGCTTCACAAGCAGCCAACACTTTTGAGTCAGACTGTGGTAGCTGTTGCCATGCCATAGCCAATAGCAATCATTTTTTTCATGGCATTTTGGAATTTTGTTTGTCTACCAGCAAACTTGAGTTATAGTCTTCAAATTAGACTATTTTCAGCCAAGTGAATGGCTTTAGTTGACCCCCTGATTCATTCTACAACTGTGTAATGTGGCCTCATCATCTAGTACATATGCAAGGCATTCAACCCTTTGAACATCAAAAAGTATAGGAGAGCAAGTAACGGATATGAAAGCCTGGAGTGAATGGGTTCCATGGGGAATTCCCAGATAATGTTACACATTTGATCCAGTTAGCTCCTGGAGATGGTTTTGCTCATCCTACAATATGGACCTTAATAGGATTCATGCCACCCTTACAGAGGATTTCAATTATGAAAGAAGTTTTGTGTGACATTTGGAGGACAGCAAAATATGAATGTCCACAGAGTGTTAATTCATCTACTGGAAGTAGCATATTCTTAACTTCAAAGATATCTTGCAGAAGGGAGACATGCCCCATTGAAAATTTGATTTTCACCAATAAAGCATTTTCGAGTTTTTCCTTTCATTTTCCTTCAATTTGTTTTTGTTTACTTTATCATCCACGTTTACTTATCTACATATCATCCATGAGGATCCCAGTTTTGTGTGCAACAGTTTGGTGGTCTGTCATTTTATTCCATTATTTATGGTATTCTGGTATTTCCATTACCTCTTCTGCCTCAAAACAGGGCCCTACTCTTGGAGAAGACTTTGTCCAAAAGTTTATTCATTAATATTCTCCCTTGCATTGACATTCAATATATTCAAAAGGGACTGGTTCTACAACTTCTTAATTCTTTCTGGACAGATGTTACTTGTAGATATTTTGTGGTGGGATTTGTGGATGTTTAAGCTGAATTTAATACTTTTTTACTCTCATTTCATGTAAGAATTTCTTAAACTAATTTAAAATTGAGTGATGTCAAATATTGTGTTGAAATTGGCAAATCTCCCATGCCCCAAAATCCTTTCAGGCATATGAGGCACAAAAAAGTTGCAGAAAACAATACTTTTCAGCATAGGTGCCCAAGGCTTTGGTGGTCATAAGCTGAAGAATGAAACCTGGCAGACACTGCCTGGATACCACAAGATAAATCCAAGTTCTCTGAGTCCTCTTGAATTGTCACTTGCTGAGCTCCTGAAAAGATTTAAAGCATTTTTGTATTTTTGCTTCTCTCCTGAACCCATATTTATGGCTGACATCACTTTGGCTTGCCCCTGATGACCTGCCTCCCCCCCCCCCCTCCCCCAATAATTGGTGGCTGTTGTATTTCATCAGTCTGAAGCATTTAATTTAAAGGCAGCATACCACATGTTTCTTTTGGCTGACTTCTCAATTTCATTTTTAAAATGTAATGGCCCCATGAAGTGGTAGTTCAGTTTTATCATATTCCAGTCTTCATTTTCAAAGCTTCATCAAAGTTGCCATAAAAAGCAGCCTTAAGAATAGAAATAAAAGCCAAAAACCTGATATTCTTGATTGTGCTCCTCCATAAATAAGGACAGTGTAAATGCAAGAAGTGACCATCAGTCTATCGAAGAATCAAGTTTCAAATCAGTCCCTGAACTTTTTTATTGTGTCTCCAATTGGATAAGTTTTAAATGAGGAGTTTTTGAATATCTGAGTTGACTTTGTCATTACAATTCCTCTGGAGGAACATATTACTTTCATGTTGGCACATTCATGTTAACCCTTTTATCGGCATTGGCGCCTCCTGACGTCCAGGAGACGCCAATGTCTCCTCCAATGACGCCTCCAGGAGAAGGTAGGTGATTTAAATGTTCGTCGGCCAGTGAAAGGGTTGATTCATCTCCCAATAGGGATGCGGATTTCCCCTAGATGTGATTGCAATCCTCGCAAAAACTGCCGTCAAAAAATGAGCCAGGGAATTCATATTTGCTCTTGGAGTTGTGAGAACCCCTTTAAGGGGAGAGTTCTCTTAACAAAAATGGAAGAGTACTTGAAGACCCTTTGCCAGAAGTATTTTTCAAAACGAGCTGGAAAATAAGAATCAAGATCATCAGACTTTACATTGGAATTATCACGCTTTTATCTCCTCCCTCTCGGTCTCGGTCCCCATATCTGTGAATTTGAAAGTAACTTCACACTCTTCTAAGTGCTTTCTCTTTTACCCTATTCTTGCGGCTACCGAATTCAATCGACGATATCTGCCCGCGCCTAATAGACGTTGTCATATGCCCCACTGAATAAAAGGTTCACTGGTACTTACAAAAAAAATGCACGCTGACTGAAATATACTTTGTCTTTGTATGTGAGGCCTTCACAGGGCACCGTTTGAGTGCCACTGATCTAGATCGCCTGTGATGAGGGTTCTGTGTCGATTGATGTATGTGTTTGATTTCAGGGAAGGCCCTATGGCAGTTGATACTGGAGCAGTTCGACGACCTCCTAGTCAAGATTCTCCTTCTCGCCGCCATCATCTCATTTGTCAGTATCTTTAAGTTTTCTTCGTTTCATGAATTTTTTACGTACGTTTCCTTGGGACATATAGGATGATTAACCATGCAGTATTCGCGTAGGGATGTTTCATTTCCAACCCGCCATTACGAGCGCGTCATGAGCATGTTTTGTTTTGCTTGAGCTTGATCACTTCAGCACCTTTTGAATATGATACGTATGCGAGAGTCTCTTGTATCGTGGTAATACGTTACAGAACATATAGATGAACAAATATGCGTTTTTTTAATTTTTATTTTTATTTCCCAAACATTGCTCAAAAATGTATTACCCCTCGCGGCTACTGAAGGATTAAAGTCCGTTCCGTGGTGTTCGACACAGTTATGGTTACATTCTTGGGCGTATGAAGATGAAACTTAGGGAACAGGTTAAATGAACGAGTGGAAGAAGATGGCAACATCGAATGAGGGTGATGAGGTTATGAGGGAGCCACCATTGCGTACGTGATTCGAGAGCCGCCGGTCTGCCGATGAGAAGCTGGAAGTGGACTGGATTCGTAGCCTCAATTGTTTAACAGGTTGACTGCCACGAGGCGCACCGGTGCGCCTCACTGAATCAATAGGCCAGCATTTCCGTGGCGGTCAGCGTGTTAAAAACCTGAACGGTCAGCTCGTAGCATGTCTGGTGGTATGAGGTGGACTTCTCGTCGAGTGGAGTCTCCGTCTCTGAGGGCGTTAAGGGTGTGTCGTCGGTGGACCCTTGGCTTCAAGATGCACGAAGCCAAAAGTCAGCTAGGGTGAGATCGCGGGAAATGGGATCGATCGAGCACTCCATCGTGCATTATGGTCATGCGTTTCCAAGTTGACGTCTGTCTTCTCCCTCTGCCTCATTTAACTTGTTCCCTGAGTTTCACCGTCCTGCCCATTTAAATTTGTGTTTGCCATTGTCAAACACCGCGAATGGGACTTGATAATCACCATTGACGTAGTGCTTTCGATTCTCTGGGTTCGAGTTGCGAGAGGAGGAAGAGAAGGGAATGGATTGCATCGGCAAAACGTTATGGATTTGAGGTGAAGTGAGATTGTTTTCCCATTTTCAGGTATTGGCATTATTCGAGGAGCACGAGGACCAGATCACGGCCTTCGTCGAGCCTTTTGTTATCCTTCTCATCCTCATCGCCAACGCCGTCGTCGGAGTCTGGCAGGTCGGCTTATTTCGCCTTTCCATCGGAACGATCTTTTGGATGGAGAGGAGGGGGGAGGGGGGCGACCGATCGGATCCGACATGGACTTCATGTCAGAGGATATATCCAAAGTCGGATGGACTATTGGAGAGTCTCGGAATGCCGTTGGAGACCGGTCGGATTCCTCTTGCTGCCAGCATCTCCTAGAGCGTCCTTAGGAGCAGGGAAAGAATTTGCCGAGTTTGACCTTGCCCTTGAACGTCTCGAGAGGGGACGGAGGACGTGCAGGTGAAATGCGAGTGAAAACCCTGGCTCTGGTCTCCTTGGACCTTAAATGGAGCGCCTATGTTTGGCAACCCTCCCTCCTTCACCTCTCTCACTCTTTTCTTTTCTCTCCCTTCAACGAAAGAGGGGCCTTGGCTCCAACCCGAATATCTTCTCCCTTTCCTTTTAACTTGCACGGATCCGTCGATGTGACGGTCGGGGAACAACCCCACCTTGGATCGCGCTTTCTGGGGGTAAACTGTTAATTGGCCCATTGATGGTGGAGGCAGGTGTTCCATGGGCATGTTGGTGGAAGTAGGAAAAAACACATCGTTCCCCCTCTGTTTAAACAAACATGGGTCTTTCGCCTCCTGAAGGAAGTTGATGGATCCCTACATAATGAGGTATACAAGTCTTCCGTGTTCCCCCCTGTGTCAAAGTAGGTAATAAGGGTTCCTTCTTCGCATCAATATTACAAGAGAAAAATAAAAATGCCTCTCAGTCCATTCTTCCCCCAACAGGTCCAGCACAAAGCAGTAATGAGGGGAAACTGAGTGAAAACGTAAATTAGTCAGCAGTGGATATCAAAAGTGAAGAAATAATGCAAAAGTCATGCAAACTGACTGGAGATGATCTTGCACTGCTTCCAGTGTGCCAAACTGAAAGAATGGCAACATGACATGGAGAGAGAGAGAGAGATTGATGGGGTTCCAGATCCCTCATTAACCACCTTCTCCTCTCCTCTGCTTCTTCTTTCAGTCATTTTCATTCTCCTATATCCAATCTCCCCTTTTTTTTTAAATATAAATATACAGTCGAACGGTTATAACTACGAAAGTTCCCGTTCCCGGCATAGAGCCCATAAGGCATGTTACATTTTACCCTTTGGTTATAGTGAACTCGGTTATAACGAAGTCCATTGAAGGTCCCAGAGACGAAATCGACAACGTTCATGTCCCTAATCCGTCATTCTTAACTGAATTTCCGTCATCGGAAAAATTAGTGTTGACGAGCCATATTTCCTGGACTCGGCATTCCTTGAGAGTCATGTGCGTGTGGCTAGAGCAATGTTAGGAAGGGATAATCCCCAGTAACTAAGATCACCTTATCTTCAGTCGCCATTTGCATTTCTCGTCGACAACATGGCCAATGGAAAAAGAAAGAGGCCAGCCTTCACGATTGAAAGGAAAGTGTACTTGATTAGTTTAATAGAAAGAGTTCGAAGTGATGCTAACGTCACTCACGAACATGGACATGAACATGTTCATCTGTTTCCACAATTTAAGAAAATTGTGACAGCTTCATCCATGCTTATGAGAACATGTCACAAAACAAGAAACTTCCTATGTCTGTCGAGATGACATCAACGAAGCCTTGCTAAAGTATAAAGTATTAATAGTTCAAGGTCCTAAGAAGCACGAACATCACGATTAGTGGGTCAATCTTGAAACCGAAGCTAGTGCAGTATCACCAATGTAAACTGGAGTTGTAATGTTATATAGCATCAATTTTGAAAAAAGGAAAACTGAGTGCCAATAAAGGCAACCTTGGTTATAATGAACCTCGGTTATAACGACAGTTTTTACCTGGTCCCTTCAATGACGTTATAACCGAGTTCGACTGTAATCTCTATCTAGAAATTGAAAGATAGAACAGATTCGTGGGAATCCTTAGGTTCATCCACCACATTCAAATGAGTTTTGAATGTGATGGGCTGCATATCTCTGAGATCATTCGTACTTTTTGTGTTTATGTGGGAGCCCAAAGGAATAGGCCAATTCCTAGGTTTCACCCACATACTCTTGCCCTTCCTTATAGTGAATGGATCAAAAGCTTGTCTCTTGATGACTGGGAAATATAAGAAAAGTTTCACTCATTCATTCCTTTGTCCCTAATTAGGAGTTTATTTCTTCAAATGTTGGAAGACGATAGGTGAGGAGTACATTGCAGTTGGAAGGGAGAAAGGAACTGCAGAGAGAGATTGACCTGTTCGTATGAAAGGAGCAAAGTTGGAACTGGGGACAGATGCATTCATTTCATCTTTGAAGGGAAGGGTGTTGGGATTGGGAAGATGCCAGGGTGCACTATGAGGGTCACATGCCAGGTGATCTTTCTCTGATCAGACAAGCTCCAGAGGTGTTTCCACCATTGATGGTCTCCATCTGCCCTTCATTCACTTCCCCCCCCCCCACCACAAATCTGCTTCTTCCCCCCCCCCCCCTCTTCTCTACTGGAACTTGAACATTAATTTACTCCAGGAAGGAGTAGCTGTAAAATGTATAAATAAAATTCCTCCCCCCCCCCCC